ATCCAGTGACTCAGTATACTCCTTCCATCTTCTTTTAATACTTCCTGGATCATTTAATATTCTTCCTAAAGCATCCTTGATTATAGCAACTCGAGGTTTGAATTTGTTCTTCAGCTCTTTGAGCTTAAGAAATGCTAAGCGAGATCGGCCCTTTTGGTTTTCTGACTCCAACTCCTTGCACATTTCATTGTAATATTTTACTTTGTCATCCCATGCTGCCTTCTGAAATCTTCTATTCAGCTCTTTAGTATCTTGAATTCTTCCTTATGCTTTGGATTCTCTGCACTTTCCATTTTCCAGTCACTAGTATCTGCTTACAACTGTTCCTCTTCCTTTGTATTTGCATGCTTGAAAGCTCCACCTCAGTTGCCCTCTCTGTTTATTCTACATATTTTCTGTTGTACATAGGCTTTTCAGAGGCCTGCTAGTTCAGAAGTGGATAGCCAATCCTTCTTCCTAGTCTATCTTAAATGGAATGTTCAGATTTAGAGAAGTATTTGACAGACAAGCATTTTACAGTAAGAGATATCCCTTATTGTGGAGTTAACTATTAGTATCAGTGTTGTCCATGCCTTCGGCACAAGTGTCTTTACCCACTTATTTCCCTGCTCCACCATTTAATGAAACAACATATGAGCAAGAGCCTATGGTGATGAAAGAAGAAGTTCAGGCTGCTTTGAAGGAAATAGCAAAAAAATAAGGTCCAGGAATAGATGGTATACCAATTGATATATTTCAGTTAACAGATGCTGCCCTGGACGTGCTCACCAAGTTGTGCCAAGAAATCTGGAGAACAACCACTTGGCCAACTGACTGGAAGAGATCTGTATTTGTTCCCATCCCAAAGAAAGGTGACCCAACAGAGTGTGGGAACTACAGAACAATATCACTGATTTCATATGCAAGCAAGATTCTACTGAAGATTATCCAAAAATGACTAGAACAGCACATCAGCAGAGAACTTCCAGAAGTCCAGGCTGGGTTTAGATGGGTTTGTGGTACTAGGGATATTATAGCTGATGTTAGATGGATCTTAGCTGAAAGCAGATAATACTAGAAGAATGTCTATCTGTGTTTCATTGACTATGCAAAGGCATTTGACTGTGTGAATCAGAACAAACTGTGGCTGACCCTGAAAAGAATGGGAATCCCAGAGCATTTGATCATGCTAATGCAAAACCTATACTTGGACCAAGAGGCAGTCATCAGAACAGAGTAAGAAACACTGTATGGTTCAAAATTGGGAAGGGCGTATGCCAGGGATGTGTCCTGTCTCCATACCTTTTCAACCTGTATACAGAACAGATTATCTGGGAGGCTGGGCTCTTTTGAAGTGAAATGTGGGGTCAGGATTGGTGGAAGATCTATCAACAATCTGTGTTATGCAGATTACACAACCCTGCTTGCTGAAACTTGGGAGGACCTGAAGTGCTTGCTGCAGAGGGTCAAGGACTGTAGCCTTCAATATGGATTGAGGCTCAATGTCAAGAAGACAAAGATTCTCACCACTGGACCAATTGGCAGCACCAGGATAGATGATGAAGAGATTGAGATTGTTCACAGCTTTAGTCAGCTTGGCTCCACATTCAACACTCTTGGCACCAGTAGCCAGGAAATTAAAAGATGTATTGCCATGGGAAAGTCTGCTGTTAGGGACCTTTCCAAAGTTCTGAAGAGCAGTGTTGTCTCTCTGGAGACTAAGGTGAGCCTAATATAGGCCATGGTCTTTGCTATCACTTGTTATGCATCAGAGAGCTGGACAATGACTAGGGAGGATAGAAGCAGAATTGATGCCTTTGAGCTTTGGTGCTGGAGAAGAGTATTAAGGGTACCATGGACTGCTAGGAAAACAAACAGATTCATCCTGGAAAGGGTTAAACTGGGCGGCTCCTTGGGGCAAGGATTCTGAGGTTCCATTTAATATAGTTTGGACATGTTGTAATGAGGGACCGGTCCTTGGAGAGGGGCATCATGCTTAGGAGGGTGAAGGACAGCACAGGAGAGGAAGGCCCTCTATGAGATGGATTGATTCAGTGACTGGGGTAATTGGGATGGGTATATCGGAGACAGTGCGATTAGCACAGGACAGAGCAGGGCTGTTGTACGTAGGGTCGCTATGAGTCGCAAACAACTTGACTGCACATAACAACAAAAACAACATGCATTATTCTGCAATTTGCTGTTTTTACTCACTATCTTATTTATAAGGTGTCTTGGTGGAACAGTGGTTAAGGGCTTGACTGCTGACTTAAAGGTCAACAACTTGAACACATGGGCCACTTTGCGAGAGAAATGACCTAATGATGTTCACCTGTAAAATTTTCACATTAGGAAACTGTATAAAGCAGTTTTGCTTTCCCCTTCAGGGTTACTATGAGGCAGAACTGTTAGAACACAATGAAACAGCACTGAGTTTATATTTTTCAAAAATTGTACTGTTTTATGCTGTTTTTAAGATCTATCAATATTGATAGGGAGATCTGATGGCCTAGTGTCAAGAAGCTGTGCTGCAATCCCAGAGGCACGTGGTTCGAGGCCAACAGCTGATCTGTTGGAGAAAAATGGGCAGTCTCTTCCTGTGTGATTAACTGCCCCTGAAACCTGCTCGAGGGTCTGTTATGAGTCAGTTCAGACTCTACAGTACACAACAACAAATCCATATTGATACATGTACCTTTAGTGTATTAATGCTCTGTCCTTACAGTAGTAATGCAATCACCGAACCCAGTCTGCCTCCCACTTTGCAGAAGGCTACTTAGAACTAGATGTCAATTCTGGCTGTAGTACTTCCTATAATTGCTGAGTTGCGCTGGGCAAATTAAGTGATCTTCTTGAAACTCACTTCACATCTGTAAAACAAGATTATTTTTACTTTTTTTTTTTTCAAGATTATTTTTACTTTGAACTTGTTTCCGTGATAATATCATTGCCTTCGAGTCAGAACTGACTCATAGCTGATCCTCCATTGGGTTTCCAAGGCTGTAAGAGGAGATTCCACATTTTTCACCCTCAGGGCTGATGGTGAATTCAAATTTCCACAGAGGTTCAGCCTTTGAATTCACAGATCAACTCTCTACTAACTGCATAAATAAAATTACGTTTGTAAAAGTCTGAAATTTGGTAAACAAAAATAATGCTTTTCTGTCAAGTCAGAACTGCTCACAGCTGACCCTCCCAACATGTTTTCAGAGGCTATAAATGACATCTTTCTCTAGCTAGCTGATGGGTCACACCACCCACTTTTTAG